CCTCTTCCTCTTCCTCTTCCTCTTCCTCTTCCTCTTCCTCTTCCTCTCTCCCTCTTCCTCTTCCTCTTCCTCTTCCTCTCTCTTCCTCTTCCTCCTCGTCCTCTTCCTCCTCTTCTTCTTCTTCTTTTCCTCTTCCTCTTCCTCTCCTTTTTCCTCTTCCTCTTCCTCTTCCTCTTCCTCTAGTTCCTCTTCCTCTTCCTCTTCCTCGTCCTCTTCCTCGTCCTCGTCCTCTTCCTCGTCCTCGTCCTCTTCCTCCTCTTCTTCTTCTTCTTCTTCCTCTTCCTTGTCCTCCTCTTATTCTTCTTCCTCTTCCTCTTCCTCTTCCTCTTCCTCTCCCTCTTCCTCTTTCTCTTCCTCGTCCTCTTCCTCTTCCTCTTCCCCTTCCTCTCCTCCTCCTCCACCTCCTCCTCTCCTCCTCTCCTCCTCCTCCACCTCCTCCTCCTGCTTCTGCTTCTTCTTCTTCTTCTTCTTTTTCTTTTTCTTTTTATTCGTCTTCTTCTTATTATTATTGTTATTCTTGTTATTATTAGTCTTCTTCTTCTTTTTCTTCTTCTTTTTCTTCTTCTCCTGCTGCTTGTGGTGGTTCTTCTTCTTGTTCTGCTTGCTCTTGTTGGAAGACCAAAGAAGGGACACCAGTATTTTGGAACCAAGGGAACGGCGAAAGCTCCGTTCTCCTCGTTGGTGGCGACTTCAGAGAAGCTCACAGTGAGTCCTGGCATCACAAGTCGTGGCCAGCTTTCAAGCTTGGCAAGCCACTGCGGCCAAAGCACGAACCCCATAGGAAATCAGGTAGAACGTCATACCGTTCAGCAGGCAAAACACCTGGATCCGGCAGAAGGTTAGTCCCAAACGGATCTCAAAAAGGCCCCAAGACTGAGCATGTGGCCGAAAAGTGTCTCCATGCCACGATGTTGCGATTGAGATAGTACGAGCTAGCCTTCCACACAGATGCAAAGTCAAGCTGGTGGATTTGCATCTGGCACCACGCATTGGCCTGCTTTGGGGGATGATGTTGATCCACTCAACACCATTGAGGCCCATGGTCATGGCACGTACAGATGCCAAACAGACCATTCAAATAACGAAGACCAACAGAACTGAACCAGAACCGCTAACTCTTTGCGCGAAGTCACGATTTCGAATCCAGTGGGTCCAGCAGTTTCCAAGCGGTACCTGCAAACCAATGCAGTGCCCGGTCTTCTCACCAACCCTCCAAGCTTTCTCTGTGAATCCGGCCAAGTATCAAGATGCAACAGCTCCAAATCCCAACTCATTGCTGCCCATTAGGGGGCACGTGTGATAGGTCTGCGCCATGGGAACCTGGGAAGTCTGAGGTGCGAATCACCTGGATACGCGGTTATCCAAGGCCTGCATTACGTCCAAAAGTCTCATGCTTGTAACATGGATTGAAAACATCTTGGCCCTCACACCCGGTGTCAAGGCCATCTGTAAATTAATTGACGTCCAAGGAGTAGTTCTTTTTCACGTCTGCATTGCAATCGAGCGTCATAAGTTGCGACCGTATTGAGGAAAAGCACAAGGCTCCTTAGCAGTCTGACAGGTGATGACATGTGATAGATGGCAGGTCTGCGAGATTGCACGACATCATCAAAGCGCAGCCTGTCAATGTCCCCAGTGGCCTCTGAGCCTCAGGCAACAACAAGAAGTTGCAGCATCGAACTCGACCGTCCCAGGTCTCAAAATTCAAGTTCTTCCTCGCAGATCGCGGATCTTCGGGTCAGCGTGGATGATTGGTGGATTGAAATCTTATCAAACTCAGCACGCTACCAATATCAGTGCTGATGGTTGATGAATAAATTCGTGCTCTCCGGAGATGATGGTTAATAGTGGATCAGAATGGTTGATGCAGCCTGTGCTGCGAGCGTTGGCCTTCGATCACATGCATCAGCGCACCTGTACGTACAAGTACACTAAATGAAAATATGATCAATGGGAGGCTTCATCTCTCCCTTTGCAAAAGTATATAGTCCATGAACCACAGGTTGAAAAGGATCAACAGTTCCCTGCACCCCCACTCCTCTTCTCAAGGACTCCAGTGCAAACAGACACCTCAGATATGATCCCTTTGGATCTGCGAAATCAAAAAGTGAAGCCAAGTCACCATCAGTCCAGATACAACCGACATTCCGGAGAGAGCCGCAAGCCTGACAAGGATATAGGTTTTCACCCTACTCCCACTCTCAGAAACAAAATAGAATAGTGTTGACCACGTGTGAATTGTTACCCCAAAAAACTGTTTCGTTTCGCAGATTTCATGCATGGCCACGTCCGACCACCTTGATGGGTTTCCTCTTGGCGTCAACCAGTTTCCAGGGAAGTCTCAGTTTCTATGGAGCTTCCAAGGACTCGAAGAGCCTCTTGTTGAGGACGTTGTCTTGAAAGAAGCGCGGATCGTTTTGAAGGTCCATGGAGTCAGAGTTCACCAGCCTTGGCACGGCCAAAAACTGCCTCGGATCCCTGGAATGGACATGTTTGGATACGGTGAGTCAAACTGAGAAATATAGAAAAAAAGTTGGTGAAATTGAGGATTCAAGAGCCTGGAGCCATACTACTTGAGAACTGAATACATGATGCCATATATCCAGCTGAGATGGATCATGCCAAAAACTGTGGTGACGGCAAGGGTCATTTGGAGTGGCCCGGGCACAGATGCCAGATCTTCGTGTTGCTGCAGAATCTCGTGCTCCCTTTTCCTCCTGGCCGTCCCGTGGGAGTGTTGTTGGGTACCAAATCTGCTGCATTCAGACGACTTAGCTCATGAACAGGCACCAACCATTGAATGCGTCCAAGGTTTGGTCATGTTTTCCGAAGGCTGAAATCTTGTTAGTGATTGAGCCGCCCATCTATGGAAAATCATCACCAACATGTCGAACATCAGAAAACACTGGCAATCGGCAAAACTATGGTTGCCAAGTCGCATCCGTGCATACTGCTCTGCCGAAGAAATCGAAAGGGTAGAATCGTCGCTGGAACCTGCACCAATGCGCAGCTGAATTGGTGTTCAGGTTTCCATGAAATTTACCGAAGTTTAGGCCTTCTCGGCTACAATCATGCAACCCCATAAGGAAACATGGAACCTTAAAATCACGCCTCGCAGGTTCGTCAGCCAATTCATCGGGCTCCGTTGCGAGCAGGAGGCACGTGGCCAAATACAAACGTTTGAAGCCAAAATATTGCCCTGTCGCAACAAAGGACTGCCGTGCAGCAAAGCAAGGACCCTCCCGATTCTGGATGCAAACACTCGATGAGGTCACGAAACAAGGCGAACCTTCATTATCGGTAAATGAAAAGGTGTCCAAAAACCAACAAGCCCAGAACATCCGGATCAATTCGAAGCAAAAAACTTTTCACCCCACAATCACAGAAATATTGCCAGAATCCCACTCATGGCCCCCCGGCCCCCCGACCATGACATCGGATCCTCGGACATCGGATCATCGGACCATCGGATGATCCCGACCATCGGACCACCGGACCATATGGATCATACACCGGATCATTCAACCATCGGGGCATCCGATTACAGCATCGGATCAGCGGATTACTGGGAAGAAGTTGATCTGGAAAAACACATGATTGATCATGAATCACTCAATCTTCAACAAAAGCGACCAGAAACGCAAAATTATTCCTCGACAAATTTAGATGTTCGTCAACGGTTAAAAAACAAAATCGATTTAGCCGTGTTCTTTGTCGATAAACAGCCGGCTTGGAATGAGAAGAAACAATTTGTGTGCGAACCAAAAAATGACTGAGAAAGAGAGGTCCTGGACGAACATAAGACATAAGGTGTAGAAGAAGAAACTTGTGTTTTGACAAAACAAGTTGGCTTATCTAGAAGGAGAGACTCATCTTCAAATGCAAACGATTTATACACACCCTGGGGATCCACATACCTTCTCACAGGGTACTTGGACCCTCCAAACTTGCAAAAAAGTCTCTCCAATCACCTTCTCGACTGGTTTGTGGGTCCACAAAGATATTATTTAGCAAAAAGTCCTTCGTTGACCAAAACAAGCCGGCTTGGAAAGAAACAACTATTTTGAAAAAAAGATTCGGCTCAACAGGAGACGCTCTTCCTCGCATGAATGCAAAACGAAATGCATGCCTTGAATGAGTTTGGTAACGTTTTCGAATGTTGAAGGGTTTTTTGTGAGGAGTTGCTTGTGTAGTTTGCATATGTACAGTCACAAATTCACGAAAAAAAACCTTCCTCGCAAGCTCTCAGCGTGAAAAACTGTTTTGTAAGTCAAATGTGTGTGCGCACGACGACCGAACCGAAAAGAAAGAAACAAGAGAAAACACACTTGCAACACGCCTTTTCTGCCGCACACAATCATGTTACCGTCGTAACACACATGTGCAAAACCTCTGGGATATGTTTCCATGATCCTCAACTGTTCTGTAAGCACTCAAAAGCATCTCCTGACTGTTAAAAAACGAAAACGTTGTTCCACTCGGCTTGTCTACAAACACCTGAGCCTGAAAGACCTCAAGGAAAGTTCGAACTGGTTCCACAAAGCTCAAGCACATCTGAAAACATGGTATGGAGGCTTCGCTCTTCCAGCCAGCCACTTTCCACCCCCTTTCCAAGTTCTTCTTTGCATGGAACCACAAGCTGTCATGAACACTTCAACCAAGCAGTGGTCAAACACGAAAATGCGCCCTTCGGGTTTGCTTTCACCTTCTCCTTTCCACCACAGCAAACATCGCGCATTGCAATGGAGGGCCCGAGCGGCCCCGAAGCGGCGCCGCGCATTGTAATCAAGAGTTCGAGCCGCAGCGCGTTGCAAGGGAAAATTCAAACGTTGATGCTTAAGATCCGGAACCCGGGCGGCAGCCTGGGGCAGCTTGCAACAAACGCCAGGACGTGAGCGCAAACCTCAACAATGCCTTTTCAAAACCCAATCTTTCACAACATGCATCAAACATACAACCTCAAATGGAATCACCAAACAGGATTCCTTGGGTTCCTTGCCATACTAGGCAGAGAGGCTCCTGAACACTGGCCCATGACAGGCTCCACGGCTCCACGGTGCCAAACCTTCGCTCAACTCCCACCCTTCTTCCCTCTCATCCAAAACTAGTCAGACCAAACAACACGAAGACTCAAGGCGCCAGGTCGACTTACGGCGGATGTCCAAACTGCAACAACTGCTGAAAAAAACAGCTGACCATTGATCTGTGAGCTTGATTGTTTCCAACTAAATCACACTGGTTTCCAATTTTTTGCTCTTTACGGGGCCCTCTCTGACAATGCGCGGTACCGCCTCAAACGCCAAGGACGTGAGCGCAAACCTCAACAATGTCTTTTCAAAACTCAATCTTTCACTTTTGCACGGTGGATATTCATGCACAAGATGCACAGGTCAGCTTGTGCAATGTTTCCTGGATAGAGTCTCCCAAGGGCCGAACGGAACCAAACGAACCAGACCAGCGGCCTAAAAACACAACAAACAAACCAAACCGCAACAAGAGAACAAGGAGACTCCACTTTGTGCATGCAAATGGTGAAACATGAAAGTGAACCTTTGAGATGTTCCTGCTACGTCGTGTGGGCAATGAATTGAAGCAAAAAAGATCGGAAGGCAGGAATCTGTGGTGCGATGCATTAGCTTGCTGTCAACAAGGGTGGCAAGCGGTGGGCCTGTCACAGCAGGCCTGTGCAGAGAGCACTGTTCAAAAAGAGTGCTCATCATGCTTGTCTTGAAAAAATGACACTCAGGGACTCTTTCGAAAGCATTGCGCGGTTATCCTGTCGAACTTCAAAGATGCCGAGAGGCACAAGTCACCTTAATTGAATTAAATAGGGATACCAAGGAGATACGAGCCAGGCACCAGAACAAGGCACAACACAACAAAACCAACCAACAAACCAAAGAACCCTAAACACAAACAACCAAAAGCAAGGTTCGTATCTCTAATGGGCTGTATAAGCCGAAGCAAAAGTAGAGTGAAAAACGGTGAGACGGGGCTCTGAATTCGTTCTTCTACTTGCGCTCAGTACATGATGGTCAGGCAACGGTGATATTCCTTCCTGCGGGCAGTGAGTATTCTGTATGGCAATGATGACCATCGCCAATGTGTGCGAAAGGCACCCAAGAATGCGCAGAAGAAGTGAGAGCGTTTACGAACAATCGCAGTTGCAGCTCGGCAGTGTGTGACTTATTTCAAAGAACACGGCCTTGCAAGCAACAGCATCGGCTTGGCTCGCATTAACGCCTGAATGGCACTTGCATTGGTTTCGCACAAGTATTTTGTACTTGGATTGTGACGATTGAGGTAGAGGCAGGCGACAACCAGTTTTGTCTCCGACTCACTGTGATCAAAATCCTGTGGAGAGCACAAGATGGTAGAGTGTAGTCAACCATGCTACGACAAGTTGCCAGTTGGACCAAATGGGTGGTGAAGGCTGCCGAGAGCGTCAAACAATCGAAAGCCATGACCTGCAAGGGACCTGCAACAGATCGACAGACCGAGAGATCCTACTGCGGCAGCCCCCCGCCTAATGGGGGAGGCAGAGTCATGTGTTCGCTCCATGCTATGGCTCCAAAATGGACAAGAGGAGCGACAGCGACGAGGCAATGCGACAGTGCGTAAATCACAGACGAATGATTGGCAGATAGCACGCAGTCGGCTAACTGCCTCGATATGCTCACCATCTCTAAATTGTGATTCGAGCGCCCTTGAAACTCATGAGGACATGCACGCCCCAAAGACCACGTGAAAAGGTGAAACGCCGCTATCCAAGGTACTAGGAACTGTACATCTGTACTCTATGTGTTCATCCAGGACCACCTCTTGGGAGGCAGCCCTGGCTACTGTCTAGCTCTCAGTATTGGCAGCAAAGTTGGCACAGGCCGACTGGCAGGCTCACTGGCAGGTTGATCGCATTCTCAGGACCTGCACGTGGGCGCAAGTCTGGGTTGTCAAGCATCCCTACTGCGCGTTTCTGCGCAATTGTTCATGAAGTCAGCCCACTCCTCATTACTGTCTGATGGCTTTGGGAGAAGACGGACCCACGAGGCACACTAGATGCAGGGTAACGACGTTTCACCTTCGTTTCACACAGATAGAGGGGCACTGCATGGTACAGGCACTCAACTGACAGCTCACTCACGCCAAGCACAAGCAGATGCACGTCAAGCAGCTCCCACTGAGCTACTAGCCAGTCCCTATCGATCTCTATGGGACGCTTGTCTTTCTGTGACTCCCGTGGCAAAGCTGTTTAGGAGTCACCGCTACAAGCTCTTGATGCATCGCTGTCCTCCTCCCCTTGGGGAGGGGTCGACCCCTTCGTAGGGAAGTCCCAGGTTTTTTTCCACGAGTGCGGACGCCGTGTGGGCGGAGTGCCCAGGTCATCATTGAAGGGAAAGGAAACACCGCATGATGAGGGGGAAGAGAACAC